GCTGTTAGGGGTTAGAAACAGTGACTTCAAAAGCAAAGCCAAGGTATTTTAAGTGTGTGCCAGTTAAATCAGAAAAGGAAGAGAGAAGAGGATTTTCCTCATCCCTCTGGGAAAAAGCACACCCAAGTTTATTTCAGTTTGTATTGAGAAAGTGGGGAAAATTATTTCTATTCTTGGTGGGATTCTTTAGAATGTGCCTCTCACAGAGATGACATGGAACCGGGGGTGTTTGGCAGTGTTTCGCCCCTGTTTTTTAAGCCACTGCATTAAAAAATGAAGGTGGCAGCAATAATATTTGCCTAAACCTTGGTTCCAACAGGGGTTAGACAGACTAAGCTTTCATTACACGAGAGGAGATGTCAGGAGCACCAAATGGGCTCAATTTCCCCTGGAGTCCTAGACAAAGTGGGTCTGTTTCTAAGCTGTGGACAGGAGGCTACTTTCTCCAGATGTTATATTTAGCTGAAGGAATCCACCATAGCTTCATGCAAATGTAAAATATGTCCCTAGAGACATAACCACAAACCAGAGGGCCAGCAGGGAGCATCCCTTTAGGGGGTAGCATAGAGGGGCCAATTGTGCAACCACACTGACATCCCCAAATTAGCTGATTTAGCTGTGAGCCAGATTTTCGGCCAGTTCTCACATTTAATGAGTCTTTGTCTCCTTCTTACAAGAGATTCTGTCCCCAGGGAGAAAAACCCTCTGCCCTAATTCCCTCCCAACTTCCAGCTGCTTGCCCAGACACCAGGTAGAAGAAACAACCCCATGTTGATGTTTAACACCTCCAAACCCTTTGAAGGTCTGTGTGCAACAGAAAAGGTGAGATCAATTCTGTAACTAAGTGAAATACCTGGATTTAGTAGAAAAGAGTAAGAAAATTTGGAATACCTTCTACTCTGCACAGCATACCTAGAAAGTCCTAATGCAACACATAGGTAGAACCTTGATTTCTAAAGCCAAATGACTTGATTTAAATACTAGTTTTACCTCTTTTTTTCTTAATCTCTCTAAGCCTCAGTTTCCTCCTTCATAAAGTCGGGATAATAACAATACTTACCATATAATAGAATTATTTTAAGGATTAAATAAGGTAGTTGTATATAAAATGTTTAACACTGTACGTGGCATATAAAAATTCAAAAAATGTTTGTTTTTGTTCTCATAACCTGTGCTAGTGAATCAAGTCTTTTTAGATTAAGAAGAAGGAAGAAGAGGAAGAGGAGAAGGAGACAACCCATGTTTTTTGCTAGTAAATAATAGATTCAAATTTGTGCAAAGCTTAGGTGAATTTTCATGGGCATTCACAGCTGAACCAGAAATAAAGCTATCCTTTCTGAAGTCGGTGTCTCCAGAGAAATGTGGATTTTCCTTTTGCTGTTGGGACCAAATTGACAAGTATAATATAAGGTGTATCTATTTTATACATTTGGATTTCACTTTGACGTCTCTTGGTTGCTGGCCGTTATAGAAAAAAGAATCTGAATGCTTCATTCTTCACCAAATTTGGTCTTCAGTTACTTAAGCTAGTGCCCCTCCACACCACATCCACTTCTGCTTGTCCTTATCCCAGGGACTGCAATTCCCTACCGCAATGCAAAGGTCACCGACAACCTGAAGAAAGCCTCCAATGTAGGACACCCTTGTCACCATAGAATTACAGTATACCAGATTTCAAAAGCATCGTAGAGGTCACATAGCCAAACTCTTTAAAAAAAAAACCAAAACTTTAGGGGACTGAGGCACAGGAAGGAGAAGTAATCATCCAAGGTGATAGAGTTACTAGCAGAGCTGAGCCCAAGAGGAAAGGTCACTTGGAAAAGGCCTCTGTTCTGAGGACACAAGCCAAGCCCTGGAAACTTCACAGAGCTGAAAGGGTAGCCAGGTACATTCTTTAGTTCTCTTATCTGATTACTGTATCTTAACCAGTGGGATTCTAATTGTTCATGTGCAACATACTTGAAACAAAAGAGACTGAAAAATAAAGGTATGAAGAGAGATTGCTTCTTTGCCCATTACTAGAAAGCAGAGAGGCTCACAGCCAGCCAAAACAGCATCACTCTACTCTATGATCTGCCAAGCCAGCTTCTACTTTGGAGTTCTCTGTCTACATTGGACCCCAAAGGAGAGAGCAAAGGGATTACTTACCCTGTGGGATAGTAAACATTGGCAATTCAACAATTCTATACATACCTCTAATCAACTATGATTTAACTGATAAAAATGTATAAAGATCAAGAGAAAGCCCTATGATCTGCAAAACTATATACAATTGTATGACTAAATCTCACAAACATAATGTTGAATGAGAGAAAGCAGACACAAAAAAGTACATACTAATTGCTGCTATTCCAAGTTACAACAATTATCACTTGGGTTTGGGAACCCCTCTCCTGAATTCCTGATGACTAGAAAAAAGAATGGGGAGGGGTCTTCTAGGGGACTGAAATATTCTGTTTCTTTTCTGAGAGCTGGTTACCAGGCATGTTCAGCTTGTAAAAATGCATTTAGCTGTGGGTCTATGTGCTGTGTACTCTTATTCAATAAAATGTAATATATAAATGGTCCTACAAGTAATTTAGAAACACACAGCTTAAGGTCAACCCTGAGACCATGGCGAGGAATATAATTCACAAGTGAATTTTCCTTCTGGAGGGCAAATGTCTCATGTTTTTTATGTATGCCATGCTATTAGGCCTTTGGCAAAACGTCAAGGGCCCCTGAGGAACCAGGAAATCTCATGGCTTTGATAACGAGCTACCTTCAAAATAAACATCTCTGAGATCTGCAGAGGCTATAAGTCTCTCAGCTTGGTTCTCCCCTAAACTTCCATAGCTGGGAGAACAGGGAGTTGAGAGATTGAGTGATGTCTAGGTAGCTGAACATCTCTCACAAAAGTTTTTTTTCTCAGATGTGCACAGAAACTAAAGGAGAAAACTATCAGTCAAACTCTTTCCTTCTGAAGATGGTTTAAGCAGCTGTCAAGGTCATAAAGAAAAGCTGAAGTGGTATCTGATTACTATCAAGGTTCCAGCCAAATAGGTTTTAAATTTTTGCAATAAAAATTGTACATATTTAAGGTGTAAAAGAGGATGATTGCGCGCGCGCACACACACACACAGAGTGAAATGATGTCTATAGCCACGCTAATTAACATATCTCCTTGCATAGTTACCTTTCCGTGTGTGTGTGTGTGTAAAAGAGCACCTGAAGTCTACTCTATTTCCAGTATTCAGTACAGTATTATTAACTATAGTCATTCACTTTAGTCGCATATTTGCGTCACCAAGTGTTGCAGGGCAATTCAAATTAAAGACAAGTAAGCTACAGCAGATGCTAAAAACATGGAGATGGTGAAATGGACTCTTGCCCCTCAGTGAAGCATGGCCTCAACCACAGCAAAGCCGGACCACTAGAAATAGCCAGTGAGGGCTAGAAGGAGTTATCTTTCTCTTCCCTCTTTTCCCTGTCAGATGATTGTACCCTTAACATCCTGTGTCTAAGACACAGGGAAAACCCCTTCGCAGATGCAATTATATAGTTGGAAAATTCTAAATCATTCATTTTTTTCATGCTGCTATAAACAGAAGAAACTGAGTTCTAATTACAGACCTACTGAGATCTGGGAAACTTTCTAATGTTAAGAATTGAAAAACTGAACAAGAGCTATGGCTATTACTGACCCCAGTTCTGTTTACTGTAGACTTTTCCCTCCCAGCCTCGAATTTTAACACAGAATTTTGTCAAATGAAAACCAATGAATTCCTTATATATGAAACAAATAAAGTAGCCTATATAGATTCTTTATACCTGTAACTTGTGGGAAGATTATTTGCTTTCTGAAATGTCTTCTGTGTATCTCAGAACTTCAATGTTAAACATAGTATATCATGTACAATGGTTGGGCCTTTGCCACCATTTGTTACCAAAATTCATGAATAAATGTCTCCATAGAGGGTTCAGGTTGAGAGAGCTTAGAAAATAGGTTCCTGGGTTTCTAAGAGCTTAGTTCCATTTCTGACAGATAAGGTGAATTTGGCATAAATTTCTTAATATTATCATAACTATTTTTGAGTTTTTCCTTGGTCAAATTTTTCAACTTATACCCAAGGAATTGTGACAAATAATTGAACTTCAAGAAGCATGCAGGGACCCAAAGACAAAGATATGTCATATAAACATATATGAATTTGCTAAATGAACTATAAGAAAAAAACATGAAGTGACACTAAAGGTCCCTGAATCTTTTTTCTTTTAATTTTATTTTAATTTATTTTTTCAAATACATTTGTCTCTGCCTCCCCCCCACCACTTTCCCTGGCCCCCTCCCTTCTTCCCTCCCTCAGCTCTTCCCCTTTGGTTTTGTCCATGAATCCTTGCTATATGTTCCTTGACTTTCCCCTTCCCTTCCTTTTCCCTGCCCCCCCTCCCTCCTTCCCTCTTGTCTCTGTTGATTTCTTTTCCTTTCAGTGTTGCTGGTCTTATTTTCCTTGCATCTCTGTATTGTTGGTGAGGTTCCACTTATAGGTGAGATCATATGGTATTTGTCTTTCGCCCCCTGGCTTATTTCGCTTAGCATGATGCTCTCCAGTTCCATCCATGCTGTTGCGAAGTTTAGTAGTTCTTTTTTTCTTTCTGCTGCGTAGTATTCCATTGTATATATGTATCATAATTTTTTGAAAAGGTCCCTGAATCTTAATAGTTTCACAAATCACTTACAGAAATCAATCAAGCATAGCTATTTTTAATACATACAGATTATGAACAATGCTGCCAATCCTGGAGCTGTACTTTGCGAATACTTTCCCAGACCTACTAATAATTCAGCTCAGAAAGAAAGAAAAGAATGTCAATTTAATATTTTTTTCTTCATGAGTGCATTGTAGGGAATGACCAATGGTAAGCCTTGTAAGTGAGCCAAAAAGACATTCTTTCTCTTGTTTACGAAGTTGTGTCATTGCTCCACCCAAGTGTCTCTATGACTAGAAATAGCTACATACCTTTTTAAAGAGTCTTCCTGAGTCCTCGCTGACTTGAACAAATCGAGGAATGATATTATTCAGGTAGATGTCGCTCAGTGTGGTGTGGTCCCTGCTCTCCCGCTTCACCTGGTTTAAGAGGAGATTCCAGCAGTTGACTGGAGAGAGAACATTCTGATCCTTCCTGCAGAGAAACAGCAAGGAAAAAAAAATCCTGGTTAGTAAGCTGCCAGGGCCAACATCTATGACTACAGTCCACATCACAAAATCACAGTGATTGAAGTCAAACCAGAAATAAAGATATTTTTCCTGAACTCTGCACCTCTACTTTTCTCTTTTTCTAAAAACTCAATGAAGAAAAAGGAGAAAAGAAGAATAATGAGGAGAGGGAATGGAGAGGAAAGAGGAGAAGAAGCAGGACTATCTGTTGACCATCAACTAAGTTGAACATCTATGAACTTGGTGTATGCTTTATGTGCATTATCTCATCTAAGCTCCATCATTTCACTGTGGGGAATAAAAAGAAAGAACTACTGTTATTCCCATTTTACTTAGTAGAAAACTTGCCCACAGCTAGTGAGAAGGAGTCACGAAGATAGCAAGATGAAGTCAGGGACTAAAACCACAATTCTGTGTTGTCTGACTAGAAAAAGGTCTAGGCTGTCTCATGCCAAGTCCATTCCTTAGCCACTAAGTCATTTGATATGTCTCTAGGGTTAGAGACAAGAGTTAAAGATTTTGTCTAGAGACAAAAATCACTAGAGCACTACAGACTCAATCTCCACACATTTATCTATTGTAGAATTCCATGAATACAACATTGGAGGCAGTTGCCGTGAAAAAAATTGCTAAAACTCTTTATTCTCATAGAACACATCTAAGGAGGCTTTGGTTTCACTGACTGGGCCATTATCTCATGTCCCATACAACCTAGAGCACAAGCACACCCAAGTGGACACATGTATTCCTAAAAACTCCTACAGCCTGAGGGAAATAGTGAAGTGCGAAACCAAGATGCTCATTTCTAAAGAAAACATTGGGATCCAAAAGAATTAGTCTCTACTCAGTTCACAGCACTAATTTAAGGAACAGAAAGTTCTGCATCTGCAAGTTGGATCTCTTTAAGGAGAGAATTAGAAAGTAGGGGTTGTTTGTGGTACTATTTATCAAGGGCTTACTATGCATTTGGCACATGGCTGGGTCCATGTTTAACTTGAACCCTACAACAACCTGATGAAGTAGGTGTTGTTAACCACATTCAGCAGAAGAGGAACGCTGGACTGAGAAAGGTCAAATATCTTGGTCAAAGTCACATAGTGAAAATGTGTCAATGCTAGAATTCAAAACCAAGCCTTGTAATTGCAAAGAAAAAAGCTCTTAATCACTACAAAGAATCACAACCTGTTCACTCCCCTTACCCCTAGTTGCTCCCTATAGTCAGACTCTCAATGCAAAGAAAGTAGCTGGAAGAGTGTCTTGGTTCTTGAGTCAGCATTGCCTCTATTCGGGGCTGGAGGCTGCCCAGCACTTGAGATCTGTAGAGCATGGAATTCAACGTGGGCTTTCCCAATTGTTATAAGGTAACTATTAACACATAATCACACCACACCTACTCTGGCTTCAGAACACACCAGACCATTAAATCAAGTATCTGTCTAACCAGCACCAAGAAGTTGCTTCAAACCGATGAATATTAGAGTCCAAACTAGAACTGTTGTGTGTGGCCTCCCACATCCACCCTCTGCCCCACACTTGTATCACATATACCTACATCACACGTATGTGCTTACCACTGCTGTAACATTATGTCCACTTACCTTCCAAGGGAAATTAAAAGATTTCTATGGAAATAAAAAATATATACCAGCCAAGAGATACATGTAGTTAATCTACTGCTTGCAAAATGTTTAGCATCTGCTCCTGACTGGTGTGGTTCAATTGGCTGGGCATCATCCTGAAAAGTGAAAGGCTGTTGGTTTGATTCCCAGTCAGGGCACATGCCTGGGTTGCGGGTTTGGTCCCCAGTCAGGGTGCGGATGAGAGGCAACTGATAGACATTTCTCTCCCTCTTTTTCTCCCTCCCTCCCTGTCTCTCTAAAAGTAAATAAAATCTTTTAAAAAAATGTTTAGCATCTGAGAAAAGGTAAATAGAAAATAATCTTAAATTCAAAATGATGAGACATTTGAACACATGCATTCAGGGACATTTGATGTTTCCATTGCAAGAAAACTTTCAAATTGATTCCAAATCAGTTTCAGTTACAAAGCCCTAAATAATGTAATTTATATTTTTATTGGGTGGCAAGATATCCATGTCTTCAGGAAGCATATATATCAGGCATTTATATTTGCTTTGTAAAAGGACAGATCTTATAAGACCTTAACTTTACAACTGGTTTTGACCTGCTTCTTATGAATGAACATAAATTGGTGGTCTCTGCTGATTCTTTTCCTACAGCACTTTACACACATAAAAACAATTCAATTACACAAACATAAATATTTGTATCTTATAAACATATGAACAAAGTACAATATTAGGGGCTTTAGTGGTTATAAAAGTACTTAAGTCACAGTGCAGTGTGGGAGACAAAGAAAGACCTATAGTACAAAAGATCATTAGAGGTACAAACAGAGGGTCAGCTAGCTCACACATGTACACCACAGATCACAAGTGGAAGGAGGAGAGGCAGAAAGCAATCTCACATCATGGAAACTGAAGCAGAGCATAAGTTCTAACAGTACCCTCAGAAGAAAGGATGAGAAAAAAAAAAATGAGTTAATTAAAGGGATAAGCAGAAAGTGGGAATCTTTTAAAATAAAATAACTTTTCACTTGTACTAATAAATTTATATTTATTAAGAACTTGTAAGATGCTACAAGTACTTTCTAACATGTATGTATTTCTATTCTTAGAGCACGTAGTGGGACAGCCATTACTGGTTTCAGTGAGCAAGGGCTCTTAAGGTGTGTTCTGAGACACTCTAGACTTACAAAAAAAATCACATTTCTGTTTCAAACAACTGTAACACATCCATCCACATGAGCAGCTCCCCGCTTAAATGTGCAGGGGACCCAGAGTCCAGCTTTCCTGCAGTGTCATCACAATGCTTTATGGGTGCCAGGTGAACTTCCTTGTATGTCGACTTTGGAATAAAGAATCAATGCATGTGTTTGATCGTCTAAAAAATGTGCTATTCGTTAGAATAGATGTTGCTCTGCAAAGACTTAGCTTTCAATTCCAGCCCGTGTTCCCAAAACTGTTCAGGTGAGAACGTGACCTAGCACACAGTGGTCATTTCATTACATGCCACAGAAGGCTTGGGGGCCTATGTTGTGTTCATGGTGTTGGGTTGGCCAAAAAGTCCTTTTAGTTTTTTCTGTAAAATAAAGCACACATTTTTCATTTTCACCAATAACTTTATTGATTTGGATATTCCGAATATGTCAGCTATCTCCTTCATGGTATAATGTTGATTGTTCTCAATTAATGTCTTGATTTGATTGCTATCAACTTCAATTGGTGTACCAAGCCATGAAGCTTCCTCCAGCAAGAAATCTCCAGCAGGAAACTTCACAAACTACTTTTGATACTTTCTATCAGTCACAGCACCTTCTCCATATACTGCACAGATTTTTTTTTTTGTTTTTGCATTTCAGCTGTGTTTTTACCTTTCTTGAAATAATAAAGCATAATATGATGAAAATGTTGCATATTTTCTTCAATCTTCAATACTGAAATAGCTACACAAAAATCCACCAATTTTGATAATTTTTTAAAGTGCACACTGATGTGACAGCTGTCACAATATAATCTAACAAAATTGTTTCAAATGAAGTTAAAGACAACTAAGTACTACTAGAGCCATCTTATGGAAAAAAACAAACTTTTTAGTCAACCAATAGAAAGGCCATGGGTGGGCAGTGAGAACACAGGTGCTCAGTGTTATCCTACCTCACTATCAATTGTAATATTTCTTATACATTTTAGGGCTCACCCAATTAATATTTATGAAGGGGAATGAGGACAGCTGCTAGGTAATGTTAATGATCCAATTTTAAAACAAAATATCCTTTTCAAGCACCTAAATCAATTTAAAACTATTCCAAGATTACAACAACTCATCTGTGTGAATCGGTAGTTTATTAACATTGGGCAACCTAACCAGAAACAGAAATAACTAGCATGTTGAAACTGACATAAAACTGCAACTCTCGTTCATAATCCCAATTTAAATATTTGGGGTTCATAAACACTCTCATTGTGCTCACTGATTAACTGTGTAATAGGTACTCTTTATAAATTTGCACTTTAAAAGTAGATTTACACTAGCAAATCTGTTGCATATATGGTGGTTCTATTCAAGATTTTAATTTTTAAAAAGGAATCTGTGATTTTAAAAATAGTACTAGACTCTGTCGTCTGTTTCTTCTATGTGGTTCCCACTCTCTTTTACTAATACAGTAGTTTTTCATATAATATATTTGGTTCTTTGAGTCTGTATGCTCACTCAGACATATTCTTCCTTTCAACTGAGGTGTTTTAATTAATGTATTTATTTATTTTGGGGAGGTGTTGGGGCAGGAGAGGTGAAAGGCATGCTGTAGGAGGGGAACACAAATACCCTGTAGAGACAATTCTCCCAGCCAACACGAACAAAGATGAAACACACTTCAGGCTGGAAAATAAGCGAGTCAACGAGACGTGATTTCATGGGGAGCATATTAAGGTTCTGCTAGAGTGGTTTCCTGCTTTAGCAGCTTTGCAGCCTTATTTTATTTGGGACTGCTGGAGCCAGGGGAACTTCGTTTGGTTAGGAGATTGAAATTTGCCTTGATATCTTTTCCATCTATCATTTGTTTGTACAGTTTCTTTACTTCCCCCGCCCCTAGAGTCTTGGGTTGTGTAATACTTGGGCATTTAAAGAAAAAGGTCTACATCCCTTAGGAATGTGCTGAACAGCTGCAAACCTCCTCAAACACTAATCCCTAAAAAGCAGACAAAATATCCAGAAGTGTTTTCTTACTTAAAAATTTTTTCAGGAGGAAGATCAAAAAAAGAAAAAACATCTTACTGTACTTGAGAGGGAATGACTCTCGAGTCCAAACAAAGGAGGCCCAGACAGTCACAAGCCAGCTATGCATCCTTGTAAGAGGGAATTATAATACATGCACTGAAAAGAA